ACAGCCCTGGCAAAGGAAGCTAACAGTTATATTAATATACCGTCAACTGAAGTTCTCATTACTGTGTTGTAAAATAGCAGGTTTTGTTTGATTCAAGCACCAAAACATATTTCTTAACACCAGTGTGCTGGCTGAATCTTAAAGGTATTGCTGTGAACTTTTGAGTCTAACATCGTGTCAACTTCTTGTCAAACAAAAACCTGCTCTGAGATTTGGTTTCATGTGGGGCCAAGTCAAACAACTCAGACTGAATACATCTTCGCAAGTCAGTGATAAACATAAAAGGTATTCTTTTCAAAGATATTAAATGATGGGTTTGGACCAATATCAAAACTGAGGTTTGGAGTGGGATTTAGCAACATTTAGTTCAACTGTTGATTTTAAGGGAAATATTGTGTTTTAGCCTTGATCTTTTGCCATTAAAAACATCCATAGAGGATGCAACCCATCTTTGAGGAAAGGTCTTGTCCAACTCCTCAGAAATATGTAATATCATCCTCCCAAGGGGGATTACCACCTTTCTGGAGGCCAGTCCAAAGTGTGAATTCCTCACAGCACTGTGCAAACACAGACAGACATAAACTACCACGGACTTATAGGCGTAGACAAAATTGTTTGTCTGAGTATAACCCAAGCATTTGTGTAAACACTGAGGTCTTTGCACAAGGTTTGCACAGTTTTATCTGTGTGTACAGGAGACAGATGGACGGTAAGAAAGGAGATAAGTGTAATGTTCAGTGAGTGAGAGTAAGAAGTCAGGGCGTTCAGACAGTGAGACAAACAGGGATAAACAAACAAGAACAAGAGGATGATACAAAGTCCAAGAGATGTGCAGGAAAAGGAAAGAAAATGTGCCAGAACAGAGGGAGGCTGAGACACTTCCTGTCCTGTGGTCTGATCTGTGGTTACTGGGAGCATAAATCCTTCACTTCTATCCACACATCCTCTACCACTATTCACAGCCCTGAACATACTGTATCTGTAAAAACAAACACTGAGGATTCTAGAGAGAGATGCTAAATCAAATGTGTTGTACTGTAGTCACATACAATAACCATCCAACATCTGTATAAAATTTAAACTTTGGAATGACTTTGTTCCACAATTACATTCAAAGTAATCACTTGTGCTAGATATTTTGCAGATTCTCTTTAAAGCGCAATCATTTACTTGGATTAGCTATCTAAAGCATAGAGGCACCATTGTATTAGATCTGATCATATATTGTGCGTATAATGACCAATCAAATACAATGATTATTCTGGCTTTGTGGAACCGAAATCATTCATGACTGTCCTGCAAACATCAAAGGTCATTAACAAGGATACAGTGTACCGCGTCCAAGACTGCAATAGACTCAAAAGTCCATACCTCGCCGGTCTATTTAAAAGTGGGGAAGGAATTCAAAAAGGTCGGTGGGACTCGTCCCAGGCAGGCATTCCAGACACGCTGACTCTGGTTCCTGCTCTGTACAGTACTTTCAGCTAGGTCAGCTAGCCTGCAACCTGTCTCTAAATATCACTCTGTGGAGTGCAGCACCTGGAGGACATGGCAGCTTGGTGGAATTTGTGTGCATAGCAGTCTCTAATTCACCCACAAGTGTATGTAAGTGATTGTCTATGAGTGTTAGGTAAGTGATGGACTGGCTACCTGTTCAGTGTGTTAATACTCCGTTAGAAACTTTCATTCTCAAACCATTATCTCAGTGTGCCTGTCCACGTCCATTCATCTTCTGCTCAGCCCCTCCAGTCGTTTTGATTAAAGGCAGCCCTGCTGTTTTATGATCTGTCCGGATATCAGTGATGCAGCCGCAGACTCCAGCTGATAATGGAGGCCTGTCTGAAATTACAAACTGGCTAATGGGGAGGAGAGAAAGAGGGAGAGGGGGAGAGAAAGGGATTTCACACATTTGTCTATATGCATGCACAAATGTCGTTGCTTGCATGTCCGTGTGTGTATCACTGTGCGGTTGTGTGTGTGTGTGTGTGTATGTGTGTGTTTTGCCTCTAAAGTGATGCATCAGTGCACTGATCGATATGCAGCTGTCTGGGGCTCCACAGGAAGTCAGGGAATGCGCTGCAGTCAGCATGGCTCTCTATACCAACTCACCAAGATAAGAAAACACACACACACACACACACACACACACACACACAAACACACACACACGGATCAGATAAATGCCAGTAAGGGTCTATTTCAGGGCAGGAAGAATGGCAGGTTGGCAGGTGCCAGAGACTCTCAGGGGCCTGGAGGTTTCCTGTGAGGAGTGTAGGGAGGTCAGTGGAGCTGGAGGGCAGAGAGCCAGGAGACACTGGAGGGCCAGCGAACAGTTTCCCACAACAAAATCACAATGCACAACCACTGACAGACAAGATGCAACTCTCTACTGTAAAACATATTGTAAATCTGAAACCACACTTAAACTGTGAAAACATGGACCATATACTAAAACTGGTATTTACTCACACTAGTTTATGAACAACACAAAAACTTCATAATCTCTGCTAAGTAGTCAAATATGAGCCTAATCTCTATTGGCATAGGAAGGAAACAGTGCACAAAGATGTAGTTAATGACTATATATGTCTAGCTAGTCATGTCTGGCCATGCACTGTAGTGGACATGGGCTAATGATGGCCAAAAGCTTCCCTGCGTTCACCATGTTTGAAGTTAAAACAAAAAAGGCCGTTGACCAGTGGTGGAATGTGAAACATTTACTTAAGTACTGAGTACAGTTTTGAGGCACTTGGACTTTACGTACCATTCTATGCTTACACTCCATCGCATTTCAGATGGGAATATTGTACTTTTTAGTCCACTACATTTGTTTACTTTGCAGAATCACATCAAAAATACTAAATATTAAAAAAAAGGTAAATTATGATGTATTATTAGAGATTAAGCTACCCAGCAGACTATAAAGTAATGAATCTCCACCTTACACACTGCAACATTAAAGTGAAGAACCCATTAATGCACCACTAATAATAATAATCCAGTAATATTGTGATATGATTTTGAAATGGCCCACTCTGCATAATGAATACTTTTACTATGGGTACTTTAAGTATATTTTTTTGCAAATACTTTGTATTTTTACTTAAGTGAGACTTTGAATGCAGGTCTTTTACTTGTAAATATATTTTTACACTGTTGTATCGCTACTTTTATTTAAGTAAACAATCTAAATACTTCTTCAAGCACTGCTGTGAACACACAGAAAGCCGCTAGCCAAAATGTAGCCTTGACACTTAGTCAGCAACCACAGCTGCAAATCAGAATACCTACAGTATGCATAATATAGTGAATGGAAATTGTATCTGCGTTCTTTTATTCAAGGCTGCAACAAAACAAGCACTGAAAAGGAAAAATGACACAAGGAGATGCTAATGCTAACAGCTGGTCTCCTGGCAATGCAGTTTACCCTAATGTGTTCATCAGTGAGAGATCATCACAGCACTGATAGCTATGGTGGAGGAGTGAGAGAAAATGAAAAGGCAAAAGCCTTCCGGGTACAGAAAATTAAAAGATCTGCAAATTTGCACAGACCATATATTTTGTTCTTTGTTTGTGTTGATTGCTCATTTGCTCTTGTTGTTGTTTGTAATTAATACAGTAAATATAAAAGATTGTTTTTCTATGGTGTGGGGTCCAGGGGAAGCTTGCATAGGGTGCTAAATGTGCTATGTCCAGCACAGATCAAATAGTGGGCATAGCCGGTAATTGTTGTCTGTGTATGTTGTGGATATGGCATTGTATTGAAGCATCAATGGAAACAAGCTGTATATGTTTGCACGATAAGACGCAGATTGTTCCACAAATTCTTTCCAGTGTTATTGTATTTTCAGCAGCACTGGAATCGAAACGGTTAGCACTGGTTATATAATGGTTTCAGCATCTGGAAACCTCCAGACTTGAGCACAGGCCAGTACTGGGACTCGAAGCTCCTGCCCAGCCTTGACACAGGAAAACAGAGTGAGACAGCCAACACAGCGCTAGGCCAGGCATCAGGAAAGGATGACAATATTTATATTTATATCAGCGCCAGGGTAGGATTTCTGGCACCATAACATTGTGGCACCTGTTATTTCAGTCAGCCCAGGGTGCCAGGTTTCAGGGTGAGGGGTTAGGTGTCCGTCCCTCTCAGGGCCAAGGATTTGTACGGAGGCGTGTGTGTGTGTGTGTGTCCCTTTGTATGTTTATGTAAGTGAATAGGCATGTGTGTTTCTGAAGGTGCAAAACTGATTCATTCACCAGACAGAGCAGTAAAACTCTGATACAGGTATTTCTGTACTTCAAACAGAAACATGAATGAGTAAAATTGTGCTCATTATACCATCTGATGTAAACAAAGTCACCCACATTTAGAAAAAGGAATGCATAAACATTTATGAATGAATACACACATTCATAAAAAGGCACAGAAACATGCACGCACACTATCAAAGTGATGGACGGTCCTTCTGCTGCTGTCATGTAGCTCTGCAGCCATCACTCAGAGGCAGAGATCACAGTGTCACCAGAGATGTCAGCCAACAAGATTGAAGGAGCCAGACAGTCGTTTGGTTCTGGCGCTTCATATTTGAGAGTTGAACGGTCACTTAGGACTCCTCCTGATGCAGAAATATTTCTGTGCCATGTTTGATTGATGATCAGAGCTTATTAAATCATTGCCCGTTAGGATTGCATAGGCCTGCACTGAGGCACGATAGCTTGCTTAGCTTGTAGTCTTTTAACTCGAATACTGAAGATTATTGGAAAAAATAATTATCAACTTTTGAAATATTACTTCAATAATAATAATAATGCATCTAATAATAGTGCTTTCACAGTCACGCCTCACACATGGGTTTACACTGCCAAGAAATCATTTTCAGAGGTGTAATTACGTGACGAGTTAGTCAAAGCTGCACAGCATGACAACACTACACACAGTTTAATGCAAGTGTAATGCAAATGTAGATACTTTGGTAAGTGATGTGAAAAGAGAGGAGAGATCACTAAGTCTGTATGTTTATTACACAAAAAGAACAGCAAAGGCATCACCTTCATCATGATATGATTCACTACTTTGACCCAAAAAACTGTAATGTCCTGATATGTGACCATTCAGAATTAGTAAAAGTAGAAAAAAGGCTTTTTAATCTTTTTTTTTTCATAAGCATTATTATTATTTATGTTATGCATAAAAGCAGGCTCTCATGAATGATGTTACATTTTGATTGGAAAAAATCAGCAATGGGTGGACAGCAAAAATAAATGCCATAACAAACAATGCATTTGATTTTCAAATCAGGAAATGCATGTAAAGAAACCAGCCTTTGGTACAAAGTTATAAAAAAGGAACTCACATTCACATTTTTTGTGTTACTGTAATTATGAAAAATGTAAAACCAGTCATGAATGCAAAGCAAAATGTTTTAGTCACAGGCAAGGTACAGTCCAGGCGTGTACTGTAAGTAATATTCAAGAAGGCAGAAACCAACACTGCTTTATTCCACACACTGAGTGATGCTAGTGAGAAATCTCTGCTTCACTGCCTTTGTCTCTGAATCCACCGTGATGCTGCATATTGTGTATGTAACATCATATTTTGTGCAAAAAGCACACAAAACATGTTGCACACAAAATACAAAATACAGTACATATTAAATACATCATTCTGGGTTTCATTTGGCTGGAAGTTTTTGGATCATTTGAATATAAGCAAGCATCACTTTTAAGGTGTAAATACAGTATATAGAACAGAAGGAGACGTGGAGGGTCTGTTGTTGGTACATCTGCAAGGCTACACTAGTCAAGGCTAGAATCCAGACCTGAGCATAGGACATCCATTCAGATGGTTGGCATGAATGAATGACACGTTGGATGTGATGTTTTCACTTTGCGGCTATGTGTGATGCCTGGCAGGTCCATCGGAGCATACTGCTGAATAAGTGAAGCTGCTTCAGATCCTCTTCTTGCCTTCCTTGGTCAGTTAGGCTCCACTGGATGCCACATACATTCTTAGTGAGCTGGTGAACTCACAACTAAAGCACTTCTGAGTCTGTAGGAGTGGAGAAGCAGTCTGCGTTTGATATGTACAATAGTAATGAAAAAGCAACGTTCAGTGTTCAGAGGTTTTCACCAAAGGCTTCTTGTTGGTTCAATCACACGGTGAGGTGGAGATCAAATGATGACAGTCTCTAGGTGAAAGGCGTGTGAGTAAGTAAAAGTGGAACTGTGTTTCTGGAGGGGGAAGGATGGAGGCACTACAGGGGTAGTAGAGGGAGAGGAGGAGGTGGAGGAGGAGGAGGTGGGGGAGCGGCTGGCCCATCGGGAGGGGAGGCGTCGATTGGCTGGACGGGCAGGCCTCGAAAAGTTCTTCTGAACTGAGGAGGAGATACAGGACTCTTCGTTCTCCTGTGGATAAACAAATGAATTACCATTTAGGATTATCACACCGCTCTATCCACAATTAAATTCACACACTCAGATACTTTACATTTTGTCACGTGTTCCATCTGAAGTCTTCTTGACCCTGGGGAAAACAACAGGCATATTTCAAACAGGAATACTCATGTGGGAAGATCACACAAGATCCCGTTCTTCTTGGTCGAGAGAAAAGCGTCTCAAGTGGAGTACCTTACACGTGCTGTGGTTCTGCTGCCACTTACCAGATTTTCAGAATCTTCAGTATTTTGGACAGCGCTCCTCTGTTGAGGTTGAACTAAAGTGGTGCCTCTAATTACATTCTTTTCATGAGGTCAAATGAAATTGGCTTGATAATCGCTCCCACAATTCCGTTAACATTTGCATGACTTAAAAGCAGTGTAATCTCTTCAGCTTTCCCGTTTCCGTGCTCTGCCAATGGCATTTAGTCAGCTGGCTTCTTGCAGATACTTCTGTAATTACTACACAAAGGCCAGAAAAAACTACTACCTCCAGACCCCGTGGAAGGCCTGAAAGATGAAAGACAAGTTGTTGAGGGTGATGGACCTCCTGCCAAGTACTTTGTATTCCACACCGCCAGTTCCTTTTGTTGGGAGCCTTTAAGCAATGGAATGGCCCAGATGCCCAGATTATAATGGAGGCTCTGGCCCGCTTCTGTCTCTTAGCACATACCAGAAATAAACAACATTCCCACTGGAGCTGTCCTCAGTCAAGGGCAATCACTTAGCGCTTCGGAATGGGATGAAACAAAATGAAATGTGTGAGTTCACCCAGGTCCACTGGTGTAATTGGCCTTGAAAATATAGTTTGGCTTTAATTGTATTTTGGTCAAAACAAAATGCAGACTTACATATTTTATTCCAAGAGAACGACTCTAAATGTTAACATCTGTAAGGAGAATAGCACACCTGCTGAGTAGCAAGGTGGGTGCTAATACACAAAAGTGTGAATACAGACTGTGTTTGTCAGACTCTACCTACCTGCACTGTGAGATGCACCTCTTTCACACCAATGGCACTGTGGCTGCTAAGCTGTGCATGTGTGGTCTGCGCCTGTGAGGTGTGTGAAGTCTGTGTGTGTCTCAGAGTGGGAGGTAAGGGCAGAGGGTCCATGTCCAGCATGTCCAGTTCTGTGACATTCTCCTCCTGCCTGACACCAACAGTAGGACTTGACGCCATCTCGTTCGGTTGGCTCTGGTTCTGTTGAGCCCGGGCTGCACTCTCGTAATTCTTAAGAATTCTTTCCACTGCCCCGTAGTTGGACCTGGAACCCTCAGGCCGGGGGTACGCAGCCAGAGTGAGGGCCTTCCAGGGATGGTCATTCATCATTCGAGGCCCAGGTCTGGAGGAGTCCGACTGAACAGGAAGAGCAGACGCATGCCTTAGCTGTGCCTGGTGCCCTGGCTGTGTCATCTGTCTTTGTTTGTTCTCAGCAGACAACTGCTGGAGTGAGACACCAACTCTGGCTGGCTGAGGCTTTGCTCCATGGGGATTCTCATTCTTAGAGCTGGAAGCATCCACATTCTGACCTGGCTGGGTATTTGCAGGCAAGACAGGCTCAGACAAGAGAGCCTCTATGGCTGCTCTGTGCTGTGTTTTCCTGGAGGGACTGCTTGCTGTTTGAACTTTGTGCTTGACCTCAGAGTGGTGTGCAGGACTCTGAAAGGTTGTAGTTGTTGCCTCCCTGAGTCCAATCTGTGGCTGTTCAGATGAAAGGTGAGAAGGGATTTCTTGCTTCATTCTGACCTCTTGAACTTCAGGACCACATCTCAATCGCCTCGGTTGGTCCTCGGGGCTCTGAACTGTCGAACTTGAGGTGGAGAGAGATAACGTGACTTTGGGATGCACACCCATGTCGCTAGTGATGACATCAGTACAATGTGACTGAAATCTTGTCTCCCTGGGAGGTAAAATCTCATCTGATGCACGAGTTGCTGTTAAGACTGGCTGGTAACCCACAGAGCCGGCATCTGTTACTGTAAGACTGTCATGTTCTTCTACACCACGACCCATCTCAGCCTGAAACAAAGTTCTGTTGAACTCGGCTGTTTTTTGTTCCAGCATTATGTTTCTTCTGGAGCCCTGGAGGTTGGGACAGGCAGGTGGTAATTCGAGAGAGGACAAGAGCAAATCTAAAGGTAATTCTTGGACAGTCTGAGGCATTTGTAGCTCGGGGCTTTTTAAATTCCCAACACCAGGGCAGTAATCTGAGCGCAACTCTTTTCCAGCCGTCAGTATGTTGACCTCAGAGAAGCTTTTCTGGACAGTCCCATATGTCGACAGCTTACTGCCAGTGAACTTGCTTGCATCACAGGACCAACGGTTGTGGCAGCAGCCAATATTACATTTAGGGTTAGTAGGTACAGCGCATGATGCTACAACACCGTCAATTAAAACTTTTCCTTCGTTTTCTTGTAGCATGGCCTCAAATTTCCTGACAATAGATGGGCTGCTACACTTTCTGTCCACTACAATACAGGGGCTATGGCACTTGCTCACTGTCGCCATGGGGGAGTCTGGGATGTGGAGTTCTGTGTCTGGAAGGGTGGGGGAGCTCAGATTCCAGGAGGAAGTGCGAGGAGGGATGGGTGGACCTGCTGCATCAATCTCAGAGAGTACTCCAGGGCTCGTCTGTGTTTCTCTGTAGCTGTCTGGATCTGTGCTGCTTGCTCTCCAGGCTTTGCTCTGCCCTGTGTCGGCCCGCCAGGTGTTATCTGGTGAAAATGTGATCCAGTTTTCCCTCCCCAGGGCCCGGAGGTCGTCATAAATCTGGCTGAGGTCGCAGGGAGCTTCATCCGCCTCCAGTTGGGTTTTATCATGGCCAAATGGCATCTCTCTCTCCTCAGGTAGGCACAAAGATTCAGATCGATTCCTGAAGGATATGAAACAGTAAAATGCATTTACTCTTACAGTAGGAGCATCCAGACATAACATGTACGTGATTATCTTAGTTCTATGTCGACGCCAGGAAGTTAACATAGCTAAGGGGATTTAATTACCTCTTATCCCCACTCTTCTTTCTGATCTCATCCTGGTAGCTACAAAGCTCCTCGCTCACACGGGCTATCTCCTTCAGAGCCTGAGACACAGAGGAGAGACAGAGACACTATGAGACATGCTGGATACAGTGTATTGTTGAAGTAGTAAATTTGATGATGAGGTACATAAAGAGGATTATATATTCAAAGTAACTGAGGAATGGCAAAGACAGGTATACAGGAAGTCGCACAGGAACACTGATAATAAAACAAGTTTTCACAGAACAAAAAGCAAAGTAAACGCAAGGGATGATGGCCACACCAATGTGTCTAAACTGTTTATATAGTTTTTTTAACAAATCAAAAAAATAGTTTGAAACACTCACAGCATTGAGAGCCGTGGTGTTCTTCTTCTTGTCACTGCCGAAACTCAGCTCTGCCCAGAGAGGTCTTTCTCTTTCGGTACCTGGAGAGACATTTTGCTGTGGCACTCCACATCCAGGAGCTCCATGACACAAAGCCTCCAGCTCTATTGCATCCACAGCTTCCATGCTAGCAGCGATTGAGTCTTGCTGCCAAGTGCCTCTGGATCTTAACTCATCCACCAGCTCAGGTAGAGAATGGTCATTCTGAGTGAGCTGACCACCAGCATCAAATTCAAAGAGGCTGTCGGCTTGGAAGCAGGTGGGTTGGCCACCATCTCTGTCAACACAACCATTGCCGCTGATGTTCCTGTTGTGACCTAAGCCAGGTAAAGGTGGCTGTCTTATTGGCTCTGACTGGCTGCTGCTGCTAAGCGGCTCATTGTCACTGAGCAGACTGGAGCCTGTGCTGGTTGAGCGTATGCTAAGCCTGTGTACAACATCATCATCCTGCTTCCCACTGTGCAGTCCGGTCCCGTCTCGCTTGGTCCTCACGTCACAGTACAGCTAGAAACAGGAAGAGCAAATAGAGGTCAGCCATACATTATTAGTCTTATGCTGATTGATAGAAACATTGTAATTTACAATACAACATTGGATTTTGCAATAATTAAGCAACATTACATAAACCAACAATTTTATTACCAAATTCAAGCAAAAACTTCTTCCATTCAAATAGTTACATAAACCTTTTGTATTACAATATTATCTATTAGATCACAAAGGTACACCTGAGTCAGAGTATTGTATTAAAAGGACCATAGATTATTAGCATACAGCCTTTGTTATGACTCTACTCTTACTGGATGTTTATGAATGAGGTGAAATACAGAATGCTGGTCAAGAATGTACAGATCAGATGATATAAAGAATGTCAATGTCATAATATATTACACTAACAGAACTATACTGTATCTACTGCACACACACACACACACACACACTCACAAACTAATATGGGATGACGAGAAGTCAGGCGAGACACCATAGCAACGAATCTTATGAACATATTTAGGCTGCAGCGGAGGATTAAAAAAAAACATTCAAAGAATTCTTTCAAATAAAATTGGATAACCTCTGGCCTCCTACCATGGGATCCCAAAATAGTAGCCTAACTATTTCATGTTGACTGGGCTCCTTTCCCATCACGCAATGTCTAGATGGGACTACTGCCTTTTAGCCTGCTTTATTCCACTGCTGTTTTCCTCTCTCATTTTCTGGTCTCTGAGGGGCAAATGAGAGCCACATGTTCTTTTCATAGCAAATTGTTCCAGGGCCTTCGCACTCTGTCCAACTACTTTTGTAAGCCTTCCCTCATTAAAAACTCTAATCTGCTCCTCGGGGCATGTCAGATTTTGACTCAGGCTTTTGTCACCACCCATGCTACACTATCTCGTTCTTTACCTTTGGCCCTCTCTCTTAGGCTCATTAATTTGCTTTGAATTACTTCCCTCTCTGGCCAGTCTTATCTTGTTAGACTCTCTTATCCACAAGTTCTCATCGAACTCCACATTTTATCCCAACAAGCTGAAAAAGTTCAACTTTTTCTTTAGGGCAGCAACTAGCATTTCATTTCATTATATATAAATCTACTGAAAAACTTGGTCCATGCACTGATTAAGCATTTGGTTTATCACATAATGAAAAATGCTTATAACAAGTCCATAGAGCTCAAGATGAAGTCTTCCAATTGCTTGTTTTGTCCAAACAACAATTCACAACCTTAAGATATTTACTGTCACGTAAGACAAGAGGATTCACTATCATGCTGCAGCAAATAATCACATCTGAGAATCTGAAACCAGCTAATTTTAAATATTTTTTATCAATCAATTATCAAAATAGTTACAGATTACTCTTTGGTCAGTCTACTAATCCATTAGTTGTTTCAGCTTTTTCTCTCATATTCCCCTAGCACAATTCTACTTAAGTATACAAGCTGAAGCTAGCGGTCAAGCAGATCTAATATATATCCTTTATTTAACCAGGTAAAAGCCTCATTGAGATTAAAATCTCCTTTTCAAGAGTGACCTGGCCAAGAGGGCAGCATAAAACATTATTTAGTTAGCTCTAATTAACATGTTCAGGCATATTTCCAAACACAAACAATGAAGAGAAAAGTAATGTTTTGCTCATTGATTCAATTTCTCATTAAAAAAAATGACTGAATAATTTGACACAAAGATGAAACAAAGGGCGCCATATGAGTGCATTTTATATCATTGTCAGTGAATACACTTTTCTGTTTTGGTATTTTGACTATCACAGATTATAGCCACCTATAGAAGAGTATGTTTTTAGCCATCAAAGAAACTGTTTAATAATTTAACAGCAGCAAAAATACATTAAAACATCCAATTACAAAACCCTTGCACAACTCATGCAGTATAATCAAAATCTAAGTTATCCAGTATGCTCAGTACTTCCCCAGCAGAGAGGAATTTCAACCACTGCCTCTACTGGTAGATTGTTTGTGTTATTGTGTGACTTTGGTATCACACAATAACACAAACAAACGAGGCAGTGGTAGACCAGCAGCTCTCGTGTTCAGCGGGTAAAATGACTGTCACTGTTATTGGAGTCTGGCTTTGAAGAAGAGAGCACAGATAAGTTAAACTTTAGGGCAGTTCCCCATCATAGAGGACTGTCTGTTTGGGAAGTACTGAGCATATATAAATGAGACTTATCATACTGGATGGGTGGCGTGAGAGCTGTTTTGATATAGTTTTGTTGTAGTTAAAAACAGACCACTTTTGCTTCAGTTCATCAAGAATTTTCTCTGTTTTTGGATTCTTCATTCACTATGGAGGCATGCAAGGAAAACAAAGTTCCCTTCCCAAATCCAATGTAACACAGTGTGAGTAATTGATATACAAATGGTCATTTGGAAAGTAAAGTATTCCTTGACTCTCAATGTGTTTCTGTTGCACGCCAGCTTCTCTGTCTACATCACTACAGGATAGCCTGTCTCAACCACTGCCTCTGGCTCAGACACAGAGATTAGAGAAATAACAGAATTCTCGTCATCCTCCGTGCACTCCTTCCTTTCCTCATACTTTGCAGCTGCACTGATCACGGATATTGTTTTGACAATGATGATGGTGAACAGGATGTGTAGGAGGGAAGGGTTACACACTGTAGGCTACTCAGTGCATAGGAAGCTGTAAATCATGCATAAAAAATGGGGAGAAGTTTCAGAAGTTTGGGAACGGTATTACATACTTTTGAGGGTTTTCCTTTATCTTACTTTTACCTAAATCCAACCTTAAACCGCAAACCAAATCATTAAACCTCACCTCTTCTATTTTCCTTTGCATATCCTTCAGCTGGCACTCCCATTCTCTCCTCTCCATGTCGAACCTCTCCAGCAGTTCGGCTTTCTCCCTTAGCCAGTCTCTCTCATTGTGCTCCAGGCGACAGCGCAGGTCCATGGCTGTAGAGTGTGTGTCCTCCAGGAGCCTCCGCTGCTCTTCCCTCTCCCGGCGGAGTGTTGATGTCTCGCCCTGCTGTTCTCGAGCACTCCGTGACGCCACAGCACCAGGACCTGCTGCTGACTGGACCCCTCCACTGACCAACCCAGCACCCTCTTTAGCCTCCAACTGAAGAGAAAGAAATGGACGGGGAGTGTAGAGGGCACAGAGGAGGAGAGAAAGGAGACCAGGGAGATGGAAAGGGAAGGAGTGGGAGAGACAGTGGAGTAAACAGTCCGTGGTGATAAAGTACAGATTGCAGTTGGGGAGAAAAAGAGGATTGGAGCCAGATGACCAGACAGGAATGAGAGAAATTGTTAAAAGTGGAATTAAGAGAATGAAGGAGTGGCAGGAAGAGAAGGTGGAGGAAGTGAAGGAATAATGCACCACGGGGACAAGTGTGAGTGGGTTCAGAGGAGGGAAGAGGGAGAAAAGAGAGAGGAATTGACAGATGAATATCCTGTAAGAACTCACACACAGGGTTTATGGGTTCAGAGTTCAAGTCTCTTTTCTGTTATTTCACTAACACAGGATGCAGTGCAGGATATGGCAGATTCAGGCACAGCAAATGATGTCTGCAGAGGATACATGTGGCCTCAGTCAAATCACACTCTGGTGTACCAGTTTTTAGAGAAGCACAGATTCACACAAAGAGGACCTCTCATTTTTTCTGATTTCTGACTAATTATAATACTTTACAAAAATGCAAATTCTTTTAGGTTTAATGGTACATTTTTGTTTTAATGAGAACATTACTGAGTGCCTCTATTCAATGCCCTTTCGAAGTGAAATACCCTGGGTATTTCCCCTGGGAATTTCACTGTGGTGGGTACAAAAACGTAAGCAAAAAAGCAATGTTGTCACTACTTAGAATGAATGAGAAATTTTACAAAACAGTCCACTGTAGACCAATTTTGTTAACATCAAATATTTAAGTCCTGGTGGTCTGATTTGGACTTCTAAATTAGATAATGGTGCTAGGAAAAGTAATCTGAAATGTCTTCTGCCAATGAGATAATACAGGGGCATTATCTGATCTAGAGGCTTTCCTCGTTTGCAGTGTTAAAGAATAAGAGTGTGTTTTAGTACATAGATCTGTGCATTCTGTGGTAAATATGTGCATTTTTGTTGCTTGTAAAAAAATGTTGGTTTTGGAACTGGAAAGAGCCCAAGACAACGCCTGTGCACGTGCATGTGCATCGTTACATGTGTGTGTATGCAGTGTGCGTGTGTGTGTGTTAGAAAGGGGGACAGAATGCATACGAGCATGCCTGAGTGTGTTATTTCAGTGTTCAGTCACAGACAGTGACCAAAGCCTTCTTACAAGCCCCGGTCATGGTGCTATTTCTGCCTGTGGCCTGGGGTCATGAAATTATGGTGTAGGAAAACAAGTCAACCCTTTCTGTCTGCCTGTGGCTCTTCTCAAAGTTCTCCACAATTACAGATGGATGTTGATGGGTGCTGTCCGCAGTCTATTTAAACATCCAAATGTAAACAAATAGTGAAAGTGCAAAAATAAGAGGGTTGGAGGCAAAATAAAAGAGCTGAAGACCATTTTTTATTGATTGAGATGGCAAAGTCTGCAAACTCTGGAGGAACTTTACATGCAACATCATTACAGCCAGCTCAGAAAAGACACACCCATGCATGCACACACATTAAATCAGTCTCTAGGAGCCCTCTCCAGCTACCCTTGGACACCCTGTCTGTCACTGCATGGCACAGGGTATATAAAGGTAACTGTGTCACCACGGTGACCCACTATAAATAGCGGACACACAGCCTTGTACAATGTCACATTCCTAGGGGAGGTGAGGTAAAAGGAAGAGGGGGGAGTTGGCTGCTAAGGCAGAGTGAGATGTCTCCTAGTTGCCAGCAGCTTTCATAAATCAGAGGCATGCGGAGAAATATGCCAGGAAATATCCGGCCTAAGACCTCTGCCTGGGACCTTGGATGCTCGCTTGGTATTTGGCGGTAGAAGTGCCCAAAAAGGACGGGGAAACAACATACAGTAGTTACATTCACAGCCATAGCCTTCTGTGGTGAAGGTGTGTAATTAAAATCTCAAGAATAGAACAAGCATGCAACTGTTCATGAGATACAAATGTAGTCATGTTTAATTAACTCACTTGTTTACTTAGAACGTAGAATTAGAAGAATTTATGACACACAGCCTCAACTAAGCCAAATTCAAATTGATATAATGATTTGGCTAAACTGTTTGGAGCCCCAGAGCTTCAGTTTCTCCACTAATCATAAGAAAAAACAAAGGGATAAAAACCAGCTGCTGACCGCAGCCAAAAATGTGTTAAAATAATTTAAGATGTGGAAATTTTATGCATTAAACTTCATTTATAAAGCAATACTGCAGCACTTTAGCTTAAGCAGACTCTCCTGTTTGACTACAGATAAGGACACCTTCACCATGACAGTGTGCAAATGCCATTTCCCTTACAGCATCACTTAAAGTGACCTAAAAATTCCAACTTACTGGACCCAGGACCTTAAGTCCCCTGCTTGTTCCATTCACTAACTTGGATAATCCTCTACAGTAGGTCTGGCTGCCTTTTTATGAATGTGTGCTACTTCAAAGTCTCTCTACAAATGTGAAATAATGAATGAACAAAAGCTAGCCATCCAGAATATTAAAGTTTATTATAGAATACTGCAAGACTCTTCTCAGACATGCATGCTGATTCTACTATTGCTTTTCAGCTTAATGCCATCCTGGATTGTCGTCAGCCTGATCAGTATAGCATTCAAACAGCCCTAACAAGTATTACTTTCTATCCCCTTCAGACACTCAGTTTTCACTCACAGCTAAAAAGTGGGATCTCCTCTGTGCTGGTACAGTGAAGTCAAGATGTGAAAAGTGACAGAGAAGTTTATCACCCATGCTAGCACTGAGTGAAATTAAGTCACACTCATTTTGTTGTACTGATATCCTTGCATTGACTTGCATGCATTCCTTTCTTGTCTGTTTCTTTACCCAGGTTCCAAGCCACATGTGATTTATTCAGTAACTCATGTATAAATGAATGAAGTGAAATGAAATGGCAATGCAATCTAATTATATTTTTTTTATTTTTGTGTTCTGTTTAAATGTAGTATGAAAGAGTGAATGGTTAAAATGGTGCCCATGAGTGACACAAGGTAGTTCGTAGACTGTAAATGAGTAATTTGATTGCTGAGCTGCGAATGATTTCAGAGCACTTGACTTGATATATACTAAACCCGATGAGCAACCCTAGATTAGCACTTGGTAAACACGTACCCAAAACTATAAACTGTGGCAGGATGTGGCATCGAGACAAAACAACTTTTACAATGGAGCCAACCCCGCCCAGCATGGCTTAACTCCAAGTCACATGGTCTGTTTGTGCAATCAATACAGAATGTGCATGTGTGTATGTGCATATTCCATCCAAAATTATAGTACACTTTGAACGTCCTCGCTGATTCTCCAGACTGACAAAGCTCTCAGAGGAGGCAAGCAACCAAACAGCCTCTAATAAAGATGCTTATGCACATCAGCATCTTGGTATAAACATCAGTGTGTGTGTGTGTGTGTGTGTGGCATCATGGTATAACCACCTGCAGTAGATTAAGCTGCTTTCTCCCGCTGCCACAATGGGCTTTACAAACACAAAACAGAACAGTAAAAGTCTCTGTTTTTATAAGGCTCTCCGTCAGACACACTGGGAGAAGGCACAGAGCCAGCAGCAACAAAGAGAAGAGCTGAACAGCAACATTGTGCCATCTACTCACACAGAGGGAATGACATTATGGCAGTTAAACCATCTGTGTGTGTGAGTATGTGATGTGTAATCTGGGAAAACCATGTTGCATTCCCTTGTCATCGTGTCAGCAGCAGTCCAAGTGCTCTGCAGTGTCATTGTACCACCCTGTTAATTTGTGGCACTACATTTCTGAGTTCTTCACTTCACACAGAATCATTTCATTTGATGATTTGAGGGCTGCGTGATTGGTGAATGCGTGACCAATCAGTTTTAAGTCCGTGATAGGAATCAGAGGGCGCTCAGCTGGCAGATAAAGACACTATCGTCACAACATCACAAAAGAACTTGAGATACAACGACACACAAAGACAGTCAGTACACAGAGGACTTTCTCTTTTTCTGATAAGTTTTCCCCTTCTACTTTTAGGCAACCAAATAAATCCATCTTCTGATATAACCAGAAAATCTAAATCCCTAAAGCCACATTGCTTTGAAGAACAGCCATGAGTGGCCCTTCAAGTGTTCCGTGCAATGCCTGACACAGCGTGGCACTGGTATGCAAACTTAACTCTGCAAGTATTTTCAGCCCATTTCGAGACACGCTTTACAGTAGCTGTCCAAGGCAACAATAGGTTAATATTTCATCCACTTGGAGCGAGCTGTTAAAAGCCAAGTTGGGTGTCTGTGTCTGGCTGAGCGGGAATAACTACATTTGTCTCCCCAGTGAAAATCTTTTGTCTAAGCTGAGGCTTGAGTTGGATGGATGCCAGGGTGACTTATCACCCTGCCATGTGGGTGGCAAACATGGTGATCCCAATTTACACCAAACTGGGGGCCAGACATACACACACATGCACAGACATGAGAAATTACACAAACATGATACCCACAAGAAACATTAGACATTAATTGCCATAAAGCATTCTTTACGTGCTGTAGACTACTTTGGTATTGCTGGTAAACAAGATTAGTGTTACTATGTATTTGGATATCTGTCTCCAGCACACACACCAGACATGCACAGCTATATATAAAGTAATGCTTACATTTCTCTCACACACATACACAAATACTACAGAAAAATCTGCAACTGACTAATAATTTGTTTGCAGATGCTTTTGAATATAGTCTTAAACCCCAAATCCCACCCACCCATCACTGTTGTCATCATCATCATCATCCCTGAGTTACCTGTGCAATCCTGCATTTGAGCTCGGCCTTCTCCAGCTCCCAGGCACATCTGTCTCTGGTGTACTGCAGCTGAAGATCGCTCCTCTTCTCCTCCTCTCTCTTCACCTCCGCCTGCACTTCCTCCAAAACTGTCTTCAGGTCCAGCAGAATCCTCCTGTTCTCCCCTCCCTGCATGGAAACACAGTTGGCATCAGTTTTTTCAACCAAATGACGATGAACTGGCATATGAAAGTTGCAGCATCACACAGTGGAATCGGAGAAGAACTAATGATAGATGATTACACTATTGTATCAAAGAACAGCAAATTTTAAATTTGATGCCCTGAGGATTATTCAGGGAATGTAAAAGATTATACCACACAACACAACAAATTCCCTGTGATCTTAGGTGCCACTGATAACCTGCAACTTCCCATACAATACTGGCATAGAAAAAACACATGGAAATATATTCAGCTTTCACAGGGGTAATAAATATTTCAATCACTTGTATATCAGCTACTTCTCTCAACAATGACTCCTTCTCCCGCATCCATCCTTCTTTATCCTGTACGTGTCGCCTTTTCAAATCCTCAAATTTCTTTTTCAGCCTCGTGTGTTGTGTTTGCTGCTGCTGCTGCTGCTGCTGCTGCTGCTGCTGGGGTTCGGGACCGGGCCACATTTGTCCCCTGAGGAGCTCAAGCCGCGTCCCTGCTCCACCGTCTCCTCCTCCACCCGGTGAAGCGGCGAACTGGGACTCGTAGATGTGACTGAAGACGGTGGGCGGAGAGGAGATCCTCCTCGACGGGCTGCGACTTTTGCCCCTGCCTCTATCTGCCCTGTCCATCCTGGTGCACGGCACAAATTCCCATCCCTGAGACGGGACGTAGCCCCCACCGGCACCGCCCCCACCGTGCAGCCCCGAGCCGTTCATGAACGCACTCCACATTTCTCCAATAACGCATTAAAATAAAACTTTTAAAACACCTTAATGGAAATTAGAAGCTGGTCACCAAGCTATTTTGTAAGTCTCCATTATTGGTCTGTAAAGCATAATTTTTGACACAGTTCTGAAAACTCTGCAACTGATTTTAAGTTGGTTGCATACTAAAAGCGCCACTTATCCAAACCCGACCAAGTCCCCCGTCGGCTGCACAGCAGGGCTCAGGACAGCATCCACGGCTGTGCTCACACAGGCGACGGGACTGGACGTCTTGGTCCCATCCATATCCTCACAGAGACAAGGTCAAGCCGTCATTCTTGTACCACAGCCCCCTCAGTATCCTGTTTTTTTTAAATCTTTTTAGGCTATCTCAAAGACTTCCTCACTGCTGCACCCCTGCGCTGCTTTTCCTCTTGCATGTTTATAACGAGATCTGCGGACGCAACTGTGTCGTCTCTCTCCCCCCACACAGAGTAGGCGACAATCCAGGGTTGGCCAAGACAGACACCCAGTAACCACTCCGACGCGAATGGGAGAAGTTCCCAAAAATATCACGGAGCTCACTGATGTAAGAGCAGCGGAGCGAGTATTTTTACTCGCTGTAACCAAGAGTTTATTTTCCTAGAGCCAGATAGCTGGAAGGAGCACCAGAGGAGCGTCCATTAATCAACACCGGATTGCTCTAATTACGTCGCTGGGTTAACACCTTGCGCTGTATCCATGGCAACAAATCCATTTACACCGTGATACTCACAAAACAGCTGTATGCTAGCAGACACTCACTTAGAGGCAACAAAACACCTAGTACGACCTGAGGGCAACACACTAAATGTCAGAAAGTAAGCGGTAGGTGTCTTACCTTGTTTTAAAATAAGCTAGTTTCCTCTTTTCTCACGCGCAGCTGAAGAACTCCCACCCTTCACCCATTTGTCATCTGCTAACGTTATCTTAGCATGAGAGGGGGCTGACTATCACGAGGACAGCGACGAGGGGTGGGATTTTACTCTATTGATATAATAGATAACACAAGGAGCAAGCCAATGTGGACTCACAGTAGCTTGTCTGTTACGTCAGGCCTGAAAAAATGTATTTTGTTGCCCTTGTGTTAATGTTAAATAATGGTAGGCTAAGTACAGAAGCCTAATAGTAACGCGCGAGATAGTTCTCTACAGTTTTATCAAATGTTACGCTCGAGCGCCCAAAACAAACTCCAAACGACCACATCTTCCGTCTGAAGCCACACCAAACATTTTGGTGAAGACACCCTTACCTCTTCCTCCAATATGGTATTCAACGTTGCAATGAGTGTCCTGTCCTTAAAAAACAGCCACGAGAGCCCCAAATTTCAGCCAAAGAAGTAGTTGCAGTGAAGTCTGGACTGGAATGTAGCGGCTTCGTTAAAAACAACTGGAGGAGCGACAGCCTGCAGCTCAAATGATGCTTTCATTAACGGGAAATAAAATCCTCCTTTCTCCCTCTTTTCCTCCCTGTCTCTCTCCCACTCTCTCCCTCCACAGCTGGCCCTAATATGTGACGTAAAACATCCCACCGGTGGGATGAAAGAAGTGGACCGGTTCCGCCCCCGTCCTGGTGGTCAGGTCCGTTGGTTAAACAGATCAGCACATTTCTGGCTTGATTTTGTCAGACCCACCCAAGGGCAATTTACACAACTCTGAATGTCACATGACGCACATGTTAGTAGGCCTATGGGTAAAATGCCAACACTCCTAACAAATTCCCTGTGCATGATTTGTTACAGATATTTTATCATGACTCAGACAGTGTAGTTGCTTAAGAAGACCTTGAAAAAGACAAATTCTTGTTTCAGTGACAGATGCTATGTGAGTGAGTCAGTATCAGTATTGTTACTGTGAGTGTGCACTTGAGTATGTGTATAGTCTGTGTGCACTGCCCCAACAGTCATAACACATCAGTATTCATGTGTACTGCTCATAGGCCTGACTGGCGCTGCTCTCACATGAAACCATAATGTTTAAGTACAGGCTGTGTGGTACAGAAAATTCAAAGCCCTCGCTTAAAGGAATGCTTCACCCACAAAATAACCATTTGTAAATCAATTTGTCATACCTTGAATACGTGAAGAAAACCCAAATGCCTTCATGAAAAATGGAAACATATTGATTTATTGGTTGACTGAGGACCATGTTTAACGACTATGTCAATTGCCCTTTTACAAACTCGCACACAACTTGTGCAGTATAATCCACATCTCGTTTATCCAGGCGTATATGCTTAATACTTCCCAAACACGTACAATTTCACTAAAAAACGTTAGTATTGGAGTCTGGCTTTGAAAAGAGCATAGACATATTTTACTTTAAGTTAAGTTTTAAATAGTAAGGTCTTAATGTAAATGTATGTGTACTGAGCATATGACCAGATAAATAAGACTTGGATCATGCTGCATGAGTTGTGTGAGAGCTTGTAAATGAATGTTTTGATGCAGTTTTGCTGTTGGGTGTATATGTTCGCCATTTTCCAGGAAGGCATGCAAGAAAAGCACAATTTTCTTCACAAATTCGAGGAAATACAGCATGAATAATTGATTAACAAATGGTCATGTTGTGGGTGAAGTATTCCTTTAAAATGCTCTTCAGATTTTGGAGAACAGATTTTTTTTAACCTGTAAGCAACATTATATATCTTCTCATTATTTTTCTTCACATTTAAGAATCTAATTAAAAGCCCTGCATATCCACTCAGGGTTTTTTTCAGATGCTGTGGCTGATTATATCTCTGCTCAGGTTGAAATTGGACTGAGCGATGTGGGCAATTACATGATGTCCCCAAATTCTATGTACTAATAACAGCAAAGTGAGACAGATGTCAAGCAAGCACAGTTGTTACATGCCCACACAGACCTGAGATGTGTCTAATTAGGCATAGTAAGTGAAAACACCTGTGTGGGCGTACTATTTTTCTTAAAACCTGAAGAAAGATAGTCAGCAAAAAGCTCATCAATCACAGTCAGAAAGTTTAATGACATACTCACCTAGCAGTCCACTGTCACTCCAAGGTGTTTGGTCTCCAGTGAATGTTGAAAGCATCTGAGCAGATGAATGGTTTGGATCATACGCGGAAAATGATAATGTCCTGTACCTTGAGTGACCTTATGTGACGTGTTCAACATAACAGAATTAAAACGAATGAATGAGTAAAGAAAGAAATAATGAAATATACGTAATATGACATTAAGTGTGTGCTTTACAGAACAAAGAACAGGGTGAAAAGGAATACCAATTTAAAAATGGTGGCATAAGAGAGTGAGGAAAACAGAACAAGAATGAGGATCAGCAAAATAATGGGCTGAAACATCTTGATGGGTGACAGTTAAATGAAAAGATTGGGGGACAGAGGGAGTAAGGGGGACATTGACAAGTAGTGAGTGCATATTAGAGAACAGAAATAACAGTTATTAAGTCATTCATTCATGTGTTTGCAATCAGCTTACAGACAGTGGCTCCTCTGCCTGTTTATCGTCCTGCTTGGGGACATCCAGCCGGTCTATGAAGCTCTGCAACTCCTTCCTGAAGGCTTTCATCTGGGCGTTGATACGATACAGCAGCTCGTGCTCTCTGATCCTGTGGAGCACAGGTAAAGTGTGTTTGGAGATATTTCTTGAAATGCTGTACTTAAAGGGTGAGGGTAAGTTAAATGGAGAGATTACTGAGATTTCTAACCACTTTCATGTGTTTAATACCTCCCACCCTCCTCATCCTCATCCAGCCTGGCAAACAGCTCCCCATTGGTGACGTATACTCGGGCCTCTGCGATGATAGTGCTGGTGTCAGCGATGAGCCTATCGATGGTCCGACCCAGCCTCTCCGCCTCGATGCGGATGTCTATCATCTGCTGCCGGTCCTTCAGGCTTCTGGCTAAAAAACGGCTGTCTACTGGTGAGTAAAGGGAACGTGTTGGGGTGAGGCAGCGGATATTCCTCACCTCATCTGAGTCACTCTCCCCTCCAATGGGGCCCTCACGCTTGCGGTGGGGTGGGAGGAGGCGAGGGGAGGATGCCGAGGCTGAGGGGGTGTCGTCATCCCGTCCTCCGTCACTCTCTGCGTCACTGTCCCGAGGGCTGCCGCGGATGCCCAGGTGGGACGCCAGGTCATAGCGCTGCATGTTGGAGAGGAGCACGCGGTTCTCATACTGGAGCTGCATGACTTTGCCGCTCAGTTCATTGATTTGCAGGCGTGCTGCTTTCAGCTCCTCCTGGAGGACCTCCACTTTAGTGGGGTCAGCTCCTCCTGGGGTAGAAACAAGGCAACAATGAAAAGTGGAACACCTCCGCAAATGAGACTTAAATGTGCAGCTCCTGGAGGCTTCATGGTACACATTTTTCATCTGATACAGATTTATCAAGCTGAAAAGAACAGGTTATCTCCTGCTCTGCAGTGCAGCTGTTTTGTCCCCTGCAACAATGACTTACAGAAAGACGCTAGAAAGATGAAAAACAAACAAACCTCCTCCATGTCTCGACCCAGCTTCATGGGACCCAGCCTTGTATTTCAGTTTATTGAGCTCATTTGTTACCTAAACATAAAACTGAATGTTATTCCCATGTGTATTTACTGTTGCGCATATGATTAGTTTGCACATTCAAATTTCTTATCTATGAGGCTTAGATAACAGACAGCTTTTATAAAAGGCTTAAGAGTCATTGATGATACCAATAATAGCAGCAGACACACAAGAAAAGAGGAGACACTTGAGAACGTGGCGTCTTACATCACTGACAATAAAGCAGCTTTGTGCTGCCTAGTAATATCAGAAAACATATGTCATATATTATTTACAGTCTGGTGCCATTTTGATGTAAATTTTTAAAATATCACACTGCTTAACAAGGCTTCAAATAGGGGCTGAGTTAAATAAATAACAGTCCCAGACAGAGAAACTGAAGGGGGTTATTTCCATACAGTTGTGAAATAGTTACTGTGCTGCAGTCGTACTGAAAGTAGTTTTCGTCCCTGCATCTTGCAGTAACAATGCAGTGGACCTGTTGAGTAAATTGACCCTTTTCAGAGCACAGTCTACACCATCTACCTTTTTGTTCTCTTCTTCCACATCTGCTAAATTCCTGCGGAGAAGTTCTGCCTCATCCTCCACCAGCTGAAGCTGCTGCCTCAGCTCTGACAGGGCCTCGCCCTGCTCTCTGCACTGCTGACTTCCAGTACCAGAGCTGTCCACTCCTGCTGCCGCAAGACTAGGTGAAGAAAGAAGCATTGATAAGCTAACATTTAATTTACAGCCCCCTCTTTTCTATTCAATTTTTTGGGGGAAAAGAGGCTTCACCATACATTCTGGTTAAACTCAACCATGAAAATGATTTTCCTTCTCACAAAATATGGATTGAATTCTCCCTAATATAGAAATATGACGCTTTTCCTTTCCATTACAAGTACCATTATATTCCAACCAATCTTTTCTGGTGTTTCAATCATCTAGATCTCATAAATGAAAGCAAAGTACCTGTCCTCCCTCATGTCATCCAGTTCAGCCTTCAGCCCCCTGTTCTCCACCTCCAGCTCCACAATCTTCCTCCCCAAGATATTCGCCTCCTCCTCCACTAGACGTAAGCGGAGTTTCAGCTCTGATTCACGGGTGGTGGGAGGCCCTCCAGCCTCACCTTTAGGCAGTGGGCTGTCCACATCACCGTAGAAGGAGCGGTACTTCTGCAGCTCCTGCTCCAGTCGGTCCTTCTCCTTGTCAATCTTGGCCATTTTTTTCCTCATCAAGATGGCTTCCTCCTTGATGAAGGCCAGCTGGCATTTCAGATCCTCGTTTTCTTCCTGTGAAAAG